TGCGGGTTCGAATTCTGTTAGTGCAAAATGTTAATGTGATTAGTATGAGCATATTTTAATACTAAAACCAAAGCTTACTAATAGAAATAATAACTGTTTTGGATGACTCCTGAAAACTTACTAATGTAAATAAAGTAGGTATGTATTGTTATAGGTACTTCAGTATTCTATTTTGTATTTAAGTGCTTCAGAATTATTTACCAGAACACAGAGGGAGGGAAAGATTAGAAGCTCAACTGCAAGAATGTGTTTTAAATCATTAAAGTTCAGGAATCGTATGGCAAGTGTAATGGAGAACTCAGATGTGTCGCGGAAGCGGAACCGCGGCGTCGGGTTACAAAGATGCGCCCGCGCAGTGCTCCAGTATCGATTATGCGCTCTCGTTACATCATCCGCGATCGCCATTTTCCTTATCGATTGCAAAAAAATATTAACTAATCGAGGAATGTTTAATTTTCTTTGTTTTCTAGTCGTTATTATGGTTAGGTTATGTTTATTTTAATTTATTTTTACTCGTAATGTGATGGAAAATCTCAGAGAAATCGAAATCCGTTTAAAAGCGGAACTAATAACGCCCGTATTCACAAACATTACTATGAGGTCTTACAGTGCGCGTTGACGCACAGGTTGACAAACAAACCAATCACAGAGCTCTATTCAACGCTGTGCGTTCGATTTGCTGCTTCATTTAAAAGCAAGCATCGTTTGTGAATACGGGCGTAAATGAAGTTTTCAAGTATTAGCTACTCAAAATAATTAAAGAGTAAGTGTTAAGATATGTTTTCTAAGTGCATGCTGGTGTGGTGGATAATTCCTAACTGAAAAGGTATATTATTTCTCTTGTAACCTCTATAAATTGAGTGGTCACGAATTATTTACCAGCTCTTGTTATTATAAAAGTAAGTGTTATGTTGACCAAACTTATTCAAACTTTAGTTAGAAGGTCAAAGTCGTGACTGTCACACTCCTGTTAACGATCAAGGGATGACATAACTCGTCCTTGTTAGCGTCTAATGAATAGTATTATTTACTATCACGGGCAATAGAACTAGTTATCTGTTTACAATGTATTCTGTGGCATAAAAGTGATTTTATTAGTCACTAAACACGGCTTTTCTAAATTTTATTATACTTTAGAAGCAGCTATCATCATACATCAACATTGCATAATCCTATCCTTCGGATTAGGATCGTTCGTTTTCAGCCAAATGACGTCCACTGCTGGACAAAGGCCTCCCCCAAGGTTTTCCACAATGAACGGTCCTGCGCTGCCCGCCGGATTAGGATCATATTTTGGAAAATCAATTTGATCTACAATGTCCTAACCAATGGAAATAATACGCAATGTGATTTTGTTTGGAAATTGAACCTAGGACCTACTTCAACTTAGATCAACGTCTCAAACTCTAAGCACTAGACTACCAAAACCGTGGGGATCGGCGTAAGGGTGGATTCGACCAGTTATGGAGTGAATATTAATCTCAGAATAAATCGTCAGTTTTGACATAATATTTCCCATACTGAAACTGTCAATGTGCCAGTTATACCAGGAGTTATTCTCGGATAAAAGTTTGGTCGAATCGGGCCTAAAAGTTTTAAATTAGACTTAAAGAAACTTTTCACTTGAATACATGAAAATAAGAGTGAGTCACCACCTCTAACAACAGAATAGTTCACACGCTGGTAAAAATAGTTAAAATAATGAGATGGCATTCATAGAGCATCCTTGAGGATGCATTATCGTGCCCGTTCGGCTGCTGTTAACACTTCAATAAAATGTGTGTCGTAAAAATGGAAGTAAATCCCACCGATGAGTGTAATCCGAATCGGGATAAAATCAAGGTTAAAAATAAATAGAAAATGCGTCATGTGATTTCTTAGGACACGGTTATAAACTACGAACCATTTATGCCAATTTATCTATGCCCAAACTAAACAGAACTTGTATTATGGTGACTAAACATAAAGTTTAAACACTTTGTAAGCGACTCTTGCGATATTTTTATTTGTCATATTTATTTTCATCTAAAGGATTTTCCAGGAATCCAATACAATTTTCAGACAGTTAAATTAATGGCATAACGTCTATTGGAAATTGATCAACAACGTCAATAACAACCTACAGTCCTTCAATAGACTAGACTCTACTACTTGATCCTATAGCAAATGGTTTTCTTCAAAATACATAATGATCGATTGACGATGATGACTTTAAACACAGACAAAATGCTACATATATACAGACAAGCGTGTCAATTAAAACCAATATAAACAATTACTCCACTAATGAATATTGATAAATCTACGGTTCCAAACACCATGAATCACTTGTAACCAGGTGCATCCTTCTAACGGTTCCCGAATACGTGCGCGCGAGCACGGAGCCCTACGAGCCCTACTGACCCACTAAAGGTACACAGACGATGCCTATTCCATCAGCTGGCTTTGATGATTATGCATCAGCAGGCCCTAACTTGAATCGTTGGAAGAGATCCACTAGCGTTGCGATGATTAAATTTTAAGTCAATTATAGCGTGTTCAACGATAAATAATTAGTGAGAAAATTTATGTACTTAGTCATTCTAGGACTTTTTATGAGAATACTTTCAAAAAAGTTCTCATATCTATTTTACACCATCATGTTATCTCTATAAAGTTTTTGAGCAAACAACAAACATTATTAAAAGCTGAAGTTTAATGAATTGGAATGGAAAGATTCATCGCTCTTCTCTAGTTTCAAAACATCGCTGAAATACAGTTCAATTTGAAATGTACAGTTTTAGAGACAAACAGAGAAATAATCTTAACTGGCCATTTAATAATTTATCTAACAACAGTCGTGAAAAGCGTTTAGTGCCAGTCCCGGCGAGCACTTTACCCTGTTTTCAAAACCTCGTAAATCCGCACTCCGGCGATCCACTAGCTACCGTCCTACCTACCCACAGTATAAGCGCTTTGATGTCCACTACAATATGGGCCGCGTCTTATATTTTATGTTACGAAAACAATGTGTAACAATGTGGCTTTCAACCCAGGAGGTATTTCGGTTGGCGACCTTGGCATATTTAGGTTTATGGAGAGATTTACAACGTATAATTTTAAAGTATCTAGCACCGTATGGTCCGTTTTATGTTAACTAGCATGATTAACAATAAAAAGTTTTATGAGAAGGGTTGATTGTCAACTTTACCCGATCTACATCAAAATGAAAAGTATTTTTAGATAAAAAAGTAGAATTGTAAATGGTATGGAAAGTAGTTATTAGATAAATACTTTTGTTGGTTTAATACCTCATATAATAGAATCACAGAATAAGGACTCATACTTCGATAGAACCAATTCTGCCTGAAAGAGTTGACGGTAGTGTAAAATAGTACTAAACATTTATTAATAGTTAATTTTCTTATTGAAGTCCTTCAAAACGATATTGCAAAATCTATCACTGCTAAGTCGTAAGAATGCTCATTAGCATTAGAACTTCTGTCCTTCTCTTCCGGACAGCATGTGAGCAGGACCTCCTACCACACGCGCTGCGAGGCAGGCGCGGATTGCATACGAATGCTGCAATTTGCTCGTCGCGATGTGACTGACCTACGAGACTAGTGGCACGACGCGGACGGACTTGGGACAAACTGACAAACATTTATGGAGAGATATAGAAGTTTTTGGACGTCTATTCATAGGTCTAAGTTTCTGATCTTTAGTAACTATTGAGCATCTCTCGGGAGTCGAGATTAAAACGGCATTATGAAAGAAAGTAAAATTGACTAAGATCAGAGAAATTAAATCAGATTTCGAGAAGCTGTAAACACAGTTCTTAAATATTTCACTGATCTAAAGTAGATTATGAATGTTTACTAAAACATTTAAGTTCAATAAATTAATTAAAGTTAACACGTTGTTTCAATTATCGTTAAATGATGCTAAAGTATTGGAACGTGATGTTCAAACGTGCGTTGGGCTGAACCCCTGTAGCTTAATTGACAAAAGTAACTGCGCTTCAGTCTAGCAAGAGTCTCCAGTTCAAACCCGACATGAGCGAGTTGTATTATGTATTCTTAAATACTAGCTAGGTTACAAATAAATTATTTTAGAGACAGGATGTTAGTTACCTACCTCTCCACTAAATACCTAGGTGTTTGAAAAGTAACTTGCTATGCATTTTCAGCACCTATCGGTATAAAAGATCCTTATAAATTCAAGAAGCGCAACACGATATTCGCGCTGCGAATTTACGAGCCCAATACAATAGAACTATTAGATGCTTAATGGTATCCAGTGCAGTGTCCTTCACGAGGGTTGCCTGCCTGGTTTATGTTCGATATACAGTTTATGTTCGATATACAAAAAAGAAGTTAAATTGTGATGAATTTCAAAAATTAAAACAAACAAAGTTAATTGTAGTCTTGCACTTTACCTTACCTCCACCTTAGAATTGTCTTGTTCATTATTATTGCAGATTATTGGGGGTTTCTTCTTCTTTTTTATTTTTTACTACATTTTGACGTTCATAAGTGCCACTTGTGGTCTAAACTGAATAAATATTTTTGATTTTGATTTTTTGATTTCAAATAGGAAAGTTGAGCATTTTCAGGAAATAAAGTTTACAGATTTTGAATTAAAAAAAATGAAAAAGTTTAAGCCAAAACATTCTGAATTTTAAATAAATTAGGTTTGGCAACCCTATGGAAGTGCACCAGCATTTCCAAGAAGGCTGCACCAAAGTGGAGACCAATGGGGCATGCTAACTGCTCGCAATGAGGATGAACACGGCACCGCTGCACCGGCGCATCCGATGCTAGGCGTGCGCTTTCTAATGGTGAAAGTGATTAGAAATCGTGTCAAAATACATTTTTGACCTATCGACACAAAAAGGATCAAAGTCCTTTAGAACTACTCTAATTTCTGCTTAGACCAAAGCTATTATGGGAGAGAATGCCTTATAGATAGACAACAGTGTTTGGAGGGCCATCATCATTGAAGTAATTTTTCCTTTTCAGTGCGAGCGGCGCTATACTAAGAGTGAGATGGGATGGTGGCGACGTGGGCCGTCTTGCCTCTGCTGGCAGTTGTCGCGGGAGACGTCATCTTCAGGGTGCCAGAGGTGTTGGTAAGTTCCTATCAAGAGATACTAAAAAGGATGCAGAAATGCAATGACATAGCTTTCTGTATGAAGAGGGATTCACGAGAGAGAGAACTAAGCCGATCAACTAGTTGTGCTCAATGGAAAAACAATATTCGAAAAAACCGGAACAAAAGAATAAAAAGTCCGAAAAAATTACGTCATAATTCATCGTCAGAGAATTTAAACATGACCGTCGTAACTTAAGTACAGACCTGCACTTCCAGCTAAACACTGGTTGTGTGTTTATTAGCTATTATTTTGCAATAAAAATGTATGTTGAATGTGTTGGTTCACTGTGTACGTCATTATTGTCATTGATTTTTTTCCTTTAAAACTAGGTTTCTAGCTATATTTATTATCATCTGTCCTAGGTCCGACACGCGGCAGCGTCCAAGCCAGTGGGCACGGGGCGCGCGAATACCTCCCGCGTGAACAACTCGGAGCACTTGAGGCACGATGAGAACGTCGTGGAGGTGCGCTACGAGGAGTACTTCGTGGAGCACGATATCTCCACCGCCGACGCCCGCAAGGCAGCAGCAGAGCTCCACCTTGACGATGGTAAGCTCATATTCCTAGTCTATACCAGGATTCTATAGAACTCCTCAGATGCTCGTGTGAACCACTAAGAGCATTGGAGGTGCGACGAGAGCGTCGTGGAGATGCGCTACGAGGAGTACTTCGTGGAGCACGACATCTCCACCGCCGACGCCAGGAAAGCTGCGGCAGAGCTGCACCTTGATGATGGTAAGCTCACATTACTAGTCTATACCAGGATTCTATAGAACTGCTGGAATGGTCGTGAGAACCACTCAGAGCACTGGAGGTCCGACGAGAGCGTCGTGGAGATGCGATACGAGGAGTACTTAGTAGAGCACGACATCTCCACCGCCGACGCCCGCAAAGCCGCGGCAGAGCTTCACCTTGACGATGGTAAGCTCATATTTCTAGTTACCAGGATTCTAAAGAACTCCTGGAATGGTCGCGTGAACGACTCGGAGCCCTGGGGCGCCAACGAGAATGTTATAGAGATGTGATACAAGGAGTACTTCGTGGAGCACGACATCTCCACCGCCGACGCCCGCAAGGCCGCGGCAGAGCTCCACCTTGACGATGGTAAGCTCATATTCCTAGTCTATAACAGGATTCTATAGAACTCTTCTGATGCTCGTGTGAACTACTAAGAGCATTGGAGGTCCGATGAGAGCGTCGTGGAGATGCGATACGAGGAGTAAGTACTTCGTGGAGCACCTTGATGATAGTGAGACATATTTCTAGACCATTCTCATAGAACGCCCCAGATGCTCGCGTGAATCTCTTGATGCACTTAAGAGAGCTTGGTGGAAGTCCGCTACAAGGAGTAGGTACTTCATCTCTACCGCTGAGGCTCGGAAGGCCGCTTTCATAGGCTAGAAGCTCAGCTTCATGACTAACTTGCTTCGTGGAAAATGCCGTATTTAAATGAGTATTGTTCTCTTTAAATATAAGTCAAGGTGTTCTTAAACGTGACTCAAGCTCCAGGAATCCAGAATTAGATGACTTAACATTAATAGCTACATGATCTAAAAAGAAGTAGGCAGTTTTATTGTCGCTGGTGCTCGTCCGATTATACTGGTCTGAACACGATTTGATTGTTACGTTTTCTAGTTTATAAAATAGTTCATAAAGGTAACCTTATATCCTGGCTTACGCACTGCACGCGGCTGTTGGATATTTTATTTCCTGACTCAAATCAAAGAACAAACTGGTATCACTAGCCGATCGTGCGAAACTGTGGCGTATCGATCGAAACGCTTGATTTTAGATTGATAAATTTACAAATGGAAATTATTAAATATTTAATGCATTCTTCTGGGAATCTTTGAGCCCGCATGGCCCTGGCCCTCGATTCCTGAATTGGCTTGTGTCGCAACCTCAATTAACGAGCCGTTTAATTGTGGTTCCGACAACCGAGTGAATCAGGCGGTGACGGGATTAGGAGAACGAGATTAATTGGGTTACCTTGAAGGTTACTATAATTACAATAATACAAACGTAGAACGATCTAGAGTCTAAGACTCATCATCTTATCATAACCGATGTAAGAGTGCTTTTGGTACATAGAGGGCGTAAACGTATTACAACAATTATTCAAATAACTTCTTTACCATTACAATTGCAATAACGTTATTATATCTACGAATAAGTACCTTCGGCCTCATTATTACTTTCATAAGATGAGAGGCAAGCTAAGAGGACAAAAAAATTAGCTTGTATCCGTTTCCTAAGAAAGACTCTCTGTATTCATATTTTGAAGCGTACAATTCTGTGATCTACCGAAGACAGTTCATCTAGATGCCCATTAATTTCAGTAGTATCACCAGCTATATTTATAGTGTTGACTTTAGTTAATTGGTCTCAACGAGGCACTGTGATATCAACACACCAGCTATTAGGGCCATGAATCATGGTGGCAAATTGATCAGCAACAATGTGGGCTTTACATCTGAAGATGTCACAAAAAGATAAGAGAGTTCCATAAAATGTATAAATGGGAAAAAACATAAAAGAAATCGAAACTATCACCCTCGGTTATTGTTTTGTTCTAAATGATTTGCTAAATGAATACATTCCTCAATAATCCCGTAATTTCACTTTTTATTTGAAACATTCCCAATAAGTAATACTCATTCCCGGAGATTCCTACCACTGCAATACTTGTGTAACTGTGCTTGACCGTCGATTAAATCTTACAAGTGAAGGTCAGCTAGTATGTAGAGACTCCCCTTACCCTCAAATTTAAAATGTCGTTGATTTCGTAACTGTTTGACTTTAAAGACCCGTATACTGCACGAGTGCTCATCAAAATAAAAACTATTATTTTTTCAAAGCACACCACAAGATCAGTTTTTGATCTTGCAGAAAGAAAAATAATGTAATATGAACAACCTACTCTTCTAGAATCCTCAATGTCTTCGTGGTCAGTGCCTAATGATGGCCGCGAGTGTATCAGTTTCGCGATTAACAGCCGTGTCTCCGCCAACAACAAGTACTTAGTACAATGACATAACGACGCGGTTAGATCGCTTCCACCACGTGTCCGTAGGCGGCGGCAATTAGAAGGTCCGCTGGTGGATATACGATACTTCTTCATAGAATGACATGATAGAGCGGTTTAAGTGCGCTTGAAGCTGAAAATATTAAAGCTTTAAATCTCTTAAATAATATGTAATTTAAAAGAAAACAGTCTGAATGTTGTGCTTACCCTTAAGTGACATATATATCAGAAATGTTATCTTCATAAATGTTAATCATAAGAGTATAAAATATATGTTGTTGGTATGCCATATAATTATAGTTTTTCATCAGGTTATTTTTGGCTGAACTAGACAGTAGAGACATGAATGCAAATAGACAGTATGTAATATCTAATAAAATAAGAAAAAATAACTTGTCTTTATAGCCTGGTGCTAGCAAAAACCGAGACAATAAATAAGTACAAACAATGGAGCGTCCCAAAGATCAATTTAGTAATTCTATACCTACGTAACGGTATCAACTACACTTTGAATGCTTTGCAATTTAAATTCTTTTGTAGCAGTCTAGATTTTAGTACCTGTTCTCGAAATTACTTTGCATAACGCGAGTGTAACTACTACTATTCACAAGTAAAAAATAAGAGTTAAAGTATTAATTTTTTAAGTCGTGTGGGTTGATTACACCTGAGATCTAAATTCCGGTCTGAGTAAGATTTAGTACGTTTTTAAGATAATTATTATTTCAAACCACCTATTATTATCGATTCAAAACTGCAATATTCTAATTAAACCAGGACAGGGTGGATTCATTCCCCATCCGAAAATCAAACCCAGAAGTTCTGGGCCAGAATATCTGATTCGAGAATTTTCATAATACCTAATACAAAACGACATAGAAAATCTTGATCCCAGATGCAGCCCTATAGTGTTCAAGTACACAAATGCGCGCACATTTAATTTGCGCGATTGTCGCCCGCGGGCTAATGGGCGATGCGCCGTGCAAATGGCTGCGAATTACAAAAATTGCCGCCTATCTCCGCATCGGTGTCATTTAATCTGGATGGACTCCTGTGATGAGCCTAATGGAGGGTAATGATGATTGAGCCATGTCTGACGCCCATGGCGGATTATAATCTGACTTCAAGTTTGTTACAGCAGTGATAAAATGAAGATAATGATAGTTTTGAGAATAGAAACGTTAAAAGATTGTAGTCACGGTGTTAACGGGATTTGAAAATGTACCTATATTTCGGATAAGTAGTATTAAATTATTGGTTAAATAATCGACTGGTAAGGGCAGTCGACTATAGATGAACTACACTGAACTGTCCCACTAAACACATTGACAGGGGGTCGCCCCACCTCCATCGTTCAACTACTTTAGTACTTTATGAATGGATGTTTGAAAAGGAAAATCGCATGTTGCAACTATAAGAACTGATTGAAAATTGGTATCCAATTTCAGTATTCGCTTAAATGACTCGTAGTTGTTAGCACATTGTTTTCTCATGGCCAGCGTCTTGAATGTCTCTGGTGGTTCTCTAAACTAGCCGTAATCACGGCGTTGCTTACTAATTGCACTACGAAGTATTATTAATTGTTGGACATAGCTTCAGTACCTACTATTATGATGCTCAGGGATGTCGCAAATATAAGTTTAACCCGAATGCAATTTTTCCATTTTTAAAATTTTTACAACTTCTTCCGCTTATCGTGAATTTACATAGTTTTATGTTATCTTCACAAAACAAAGCTCCGCCTTTGTTATCGTATTGTCTTGTTAATCGGATTCCATTTTTGGAAATCGCGAAAAATTCGATTAGGTATGACAATGCTAAAGCAAACACGTGTATTAATGTGTTTAAAACAAAATTTCATTGTGTCATTCATTTGTTCACTTAACCATTTTAATAAAATGTTTTAATTAGTAGAATATAAAACCATTGTGCATGGCTAGACTTAGTAAAATTAATCGAAACGTAACGGTTTTTACTTATGTAATGTATGTATGACCGATAAAAAGGAATTTGGGTTATTTTTTTAACATAAAATACTCTGTTTTTATTAAATTGCAGAATTATATGCAATATGTAACGGGTCCTAAGTCCTAACCTAACCTAACATACGCTGAGCGATAAAAGAATAACTATTGTTGTCTGCAAAACCAATTACACTGTCAAAAAAGTTATAAGTATAAATGCTCGATTACTTTAGGCAAATGAATCAATTCACAAACGATCTGCCCTTTTGAATGATATCCTCTGTCCCCAAGGACGCCTTTTGTTGGTTCCCCAAGCTGGCAGCCCTACTGGCTCCTGCTCTACCCAAGGTCGGATCAGCTGTGAAACGCCATAGTTATCAATACCTATTACTTTGCAATCTGTTCGGCTTTCATCAATTAATACGGTTTACGACCATAATTAGGTAATTAATTAGGCATGTAACGCAAATAAGAAAAATGATTTTTGTTCTACAATGAAGTATAATTAATTGATGAGAGAATTTCAAGGTAACACCCACCGAATTACAAACAACTTTCTTCGAAGGTTGTTTGAACGAGATAAAAACTCTCAACTTTAAAAACTCTCAATTAACTTTCAAACTAATGCCAAGTGCCGATTGCTTTATTTTTCTGTTACGTAAACTTTCAGTAGGTTACCTAACCTATACTTTTAACGACAAACTATATGCTATTTATCCGACTGCGCCAGAAGGAGGGTTATGTTTCAAACAATTCTAGCCGGGTGTTCCGTAGACTGTACCTGTAGGTAGGTACATATTTGCTTTGTCGTGTGAACAAACAAGCGATAAACAAAACCAGGGCAGGGGGTGGGCAATCAAAACAAGTGAGTCATAGCCAACTGAGGCTGGTGGTGACGTCAGAGGGTGCGAGGACATTAAGTACCTACTTCTCCTACAGGGTCTGTTATTGCGCACTTCAATATTAAATACGCAATACGGTAGGCAAATGAAATATTTAACGACCAAAACTTCACACTAAACTTCGAACATGGTATTCAAATCAAGTTTCGATTTTCCTACGAGTCAAATGGTTGATTAGGTTAAAGCACAAAATTAACAACAACAACAAAAATGTAAAAAACCATTAGAAAATATAAATCCTACCTTGTTACTTTTCCATCTGGCGACTTTTGCGGTCCATGAAGAACACCCTCTTGGTAATTTTGTCACTTCACAGTTTAAACATCACACTTTTTTACACTTACTAGGTATTCACTTCAGTTTCTATCTTGATTTTACCGAAATCTACACCGATAAATCCAATAAACCCGAAAAAAAGAATAATTAGTTGCAGAGAATTCGCACCACGCGTCTGCAACGAAATAATAAATGAGACTGGCCTCCCTCACAAGCCGTTAATATCATCTTGTGATAGTACCCACTTTTTAATTTAATATTATTTCACACCAACTACCCTTGTTTAGACGCGTTTGGCGAACTCGAGAGTACATCGTCACGCTTGAATGCTCGCACCATGTAAAGGCGCGCGCACACGGTTGACTTTTGGCATCGTGACAAGTTTATCTTTTTTTACACTTCAAAACAAATACAATTTTTTATAGGGACTACATAGAGATTTTACTCATTTTTACTAAATTGATGAATATTATACTAGGCTGCAATTTTGAAATATATTATTAAATGAAATACATATAATGAAATAACAAAATCTATCTTCTGTACTAATATTATAAATGCGAAAGTAACTCTGTCTGTCTGTCTCTCTTTCACGCCTAAACCACTGAACCGATTTTGATGAAATTTGGCATAGAGATAGTTTGAGTCCCGGGAAAGGATATAGGATAGTTTTTATGCCGGTTTTTGAAACAGGGACGCGCGCGATATTTTTTCTGTGACGGACAAAATTCCACGCGGGCGAAGCCGCGGGCGGAAAGCTAGTTAATAATAAAATTGTACTACCCAATCTAATATTGTAATTTATTTTTTTATTATAAAATTTTAATTTATCTAAAGTAAGAATTAATGAAGTAAAATAATATATTTAAGTTTAATAAATACTTGCTATGCCCTTTTACAGGGTGCATGTGCTATACTATCCTACCATTTACTAACTATTAAACCACACACTCACAAAGTCCACAAAGTCAACCATGTGCGCGCTCCCTAAGATAACTAAGTATTACCAATTACTGGTATTACTTGTATCACAGAATACATAATAGTAGCCTTGTATGTAAGCTTAATCATAAAACAGCAAGGCGCTGGACGCAGGCCGCTATGGCTACCAACCGGGCAACATGGAAAGCATTGCGGGAGGCCTATGTTCAGCAGTGGACGTCCTATGGCTGAAATGATGATGATGATGATGAAGATGATGAAGGTGAGATACAGGCCAAGAGCTTCCTTGTAGTAGATAAAAAAAGGATAAAATAATTATGGCGGTTTAACGGTGTGGTTCTTTTAATACCTTAAAAGCGCTATTTAATAGCCTAATGCCTGTTTTCACCATCAATCCCTCGAGCGTTTCCTAACTAAGCATCACTTTAGTTAAACGATCCTCTAAACTACGAAAATGGGCATAAGTAATTATTGCAAAATATAATGACTTTTAATTATGTATTTTTCCTGTTGAATTTAATTTAACTTTTAGTTTGCGACGATATGGAATTATACATTGGTAAGGTGAAACCTATTAGTCATCTAAAATCCTCGTACTCATGAGTTTCCACCATAATTACATCCCAATGTCATTTAATTAGATTTCAGCAATGTTCTCAACCAATGATTAAGCCAAGGCCGAGGGCGGGGCAGCCAAATGACACGGTGCAGCATCACCAAGGTTTGGAGGCAGGGCGCTGTGACATTGACTAACTCCCAAAACAACTAGTCTTAATTTGTTTACAAAGTACTGGGGTACTGTTTAGAGGTTAAAGTTGTAAAGTTTTAAATGAGTCATAGCAGTGGGCTTACAAATCGTAGGTAACTTAAAATAAATGTTGGAAAGTATGAAAAGCTAGTCATCATTATTTGATAAGGGGTAACCTTAAAAAATAATGTTTATTTTTGTAGGCTTTTATGTTCATTTGGTCTAATAAATAGCAGCAGTATCGAATCCATTGCTACTGATTTGATGAGGTAGGCATAGGTACCTTGAGAATATGGTATTATGTTTTAGGGTTCCGGAACTAAGTAAAGCAAAAAACGTTTTATTAGTCGTTAACAACAGAAAAGTGTTGTATTTGTTCCGTGATGGCGCTTGGTCGAGCGGAACCGTCGGTACACTTGCAACCTTCGATTTTACTTTGTCATCATGTTTTTTCTCAATTTTTCACGCCACCACGCTTTTACGTGATTGCATAAAAACGTCTATTTTCCACGACTACGAGGTACTAACAACAATAATAATAGACGGTAAACTGCCACAGCAAGCAATGCAGTGACTAATTCGTCAATATACCCGCACTTATTATAAACCACCAGACATAAAGGCTCAGTGCGAAGCCACATATGGGAATGCATTATGTAACAGGCTGTGGTTCTCCGGCATAAATCATTGCAAACCATTGTTCAAACATTTGATAGGAAACGCATTGCCTCAAATGTTCGCACCACATTGAATGAATGGAATACAGAATTGGCATATTTGTCGTATGAATGTATGATGAACTAATTTTGAGCTACGCCGCTTTGAACGCAATCTAGACAAACATTTGACGATTCTATTTCGTCCAGTTTATTTTCAACTCCAAATATCGTTTCTTCGGATTGATTGGATTCTCAAGATCCAATTGCTACTCGGCAACTTTCACTGGAATCTAATTTTAAAGTTGTTGTTTGGTTTGCTTGGCTTGGCTCTAAGTTTTTATAATTTAAAAGATTCCTTCAATTTGCTTGATCTTGTGACATCTGCTGAAAATAACTTAGGCCAACAGATCAAGGATTGCTTTAAAAGAACGCCACCAAAGTACCTTCATTATCTCCCATTTTTGGTGCTCATGTAGTTAGTTAGGTAGTTCGAATTTTGGTTCGACTGGACTTTTCCCCCAAAAACGTTGTATCCTGATTGGTTCATTGTGACTGATCGTGTTCTTTCTTCTTGCCTGTATCATCCCAGAAACCGAGCAGCATCCCATATACGTGTCTTTTTTTCTGCTGCTGTCAGGGTCATAAAATGTGGAATCCAGTAATTTTCAACTGTCCTCTCCTCATTCCAGTGCCATCGACCCGCGCGGGCTGCGGTACCTGCAGCCGCAGCGAGATGGAGTACTGCGAGACGCGCGTGCTGGCCGACCACTGCTGCTGCGAGCGGCGCTTCCTGCCCGAGCCGTTCCCTTGGCTGCCGCACACCTGCTACGTCGGGCCCGCGCGCTGCCGGCCATTGGCACACGACTGCGTGCGCTACGCACGTCTAAGGGACTGCTGCTGCTATCGCAAGCTGGCTGAGCGATGTGAGTATCATCTAACTTATGGAGTAGTGTGAGACGCGCGTGCTGGCCGACCACTGCTGCTGCCGCACACTTGCTACGTAGGCCCGGCGCGCTGCCGGCCATTGGCACACGACTGCGTGCGGTATGCGCGCTTGAGGGACTGCTGCTGCTATCGCAAGCTGGCTGAACGATGTGAGTATCCTCTGACTTATGGAGTACTGTGAGATGAGCGTGCTGGCCGACCACAGCTGCTGCGTGCGACGCTTCCTGCCCGAGCCATTCCCCTGGCTACCACACACCTGCTACGTCGGCCCAGCGAGGTGTCGTCCCCTGGCGCATGACTGCGTTCGCTATGCACGCCTGAGAGACTGCTGCTGACTGACTTATGGAGTAGTGTGAGACACGCGTGCTGGCCGACCGCTGCTGCTGCGAGCGGCGCTTCCTGCCCGAGCCATTCCCCTGGCTGCCGCACCTGAGAGACTGCTGCTGCTACCGCGAGCTGGCTGAACGATGTGAGTATCCTCTGACTTATTGAGTACCGGGAGACGCGCATGTTTTCAGACCACTGCTGCCCTTCCTGGCCGAGCCCTTCCCCTGGCTGCCGCACACCAGCTACGTCGGCCCAGCGAGGTGTCGTCCCCTGGCGCACGACTGCGTACGCTACACACGTCTAAGGGACTGCTGCTGCTATCGCAAGCTGGCTGAACGATGCCGATGTGAGAATCCTAGCTTTAGGTTGAGCTGCAAGGTTCCTTTCATCTGCGACAATAGAACCAGATTGTGAAGCAGAATCTTCCAAACAAACCAAGACGATTAATATTGATGCCGAATTATCTTATGTTTCTGCGTCTGCAAGTTCTGTATCATCAAGTCTCGGCTTTGTCAGGAAATAAGATTGTGTTATCGACGTGCCCTTTTTAATTCTTACTGTCGCGAATGGTTAAGCGTTTAAATTCAACTAACTCCTTCCATTGCTTTGTTTTGTAGATATTTCTAAAGATCAATCTCGTTGAATATTCATGCTCTTGGTTTCTGTCATTGGACGTCATAACTAATCCAAGTAATCTCGTTCCAGGGAAGAGTATCCTGTCCAAGTCGTCCCGGCTGGGCGTGAGCGGCGCGTCGCTGCTGCTGCTGTCGATGCTGCTGTTCGTGGCCTACCTGTGACACGCGCCTGCGCGCGCGCCGCTTGTGCCCGCGCACGTGTAGGCACCAGCGGCAAAGTGCACAGGATTTAGATCCTTATCAACATTAGTATTGGCTACTGCTGGTCGTAGTTTTTCTTCAAGCCTCATGTCGATTCTTGGACCCTTTAATATATCTGTGTATTTGTGAAGAGGACACTTCAATTTGTCATGGGCAAGGGAGCTTATCTTCTGTTGAACTGTCAGTTCTTACTATTGTATCAATATAATTACGAAGATAACATTTCAATTTCCCAAACGCGAGGAGCTTCTTCTACTCATCTGAACCACCAGACATTCGATTCGTTCGACTCATTCAGTATGTTCAAGCTTTAAATTGATGAGGGTAACTGCGGGTACTTCTTCAATCATAACTCGTTACTGATGCACTATTTCACTATCATTAAGCGGACCGCTATACTTTTTGACATGTTTTTTAAATTTAAATAAAACTGACTGCTTCTTATTATCTCTTTTGTAACTAGAGAGTAGTTGAAATAATGAACTTTGGGCACAATAAGAAGAAAGAAGAGAATAGCTATTTGTTCCTATTCTTGATCTTGACTCATGGATAATAATCAAACATGTCTTGAATGAAATAATTTTAATATAGTAGTTTTAAATGTTCTTCGAAATTATAAGAATTAATTGTTTCGATCGATGTATAAATTGTAGATACTTGTAATTAAAGAAGTTTAGTGAACTAGTAAGCACTAATTTATTTTCAGGGCTATAAGATAGCTTCGTGTCTGCTTAGCTGCACTGAATAGAAGGCTTTTTAGTTAAATGTAAAGCTATTTTTCCTTTGGAATTAAAAATATGTTACCTTCTTGCTTGTATTTTAGATGTTGGAATTTTACGCATTTATATTTAAGAAAATTAACTTTGCAAATATTTAAAATATTTTCCTTATTTTGAAAAACCAATGATTTAGTTAAATGTTACGTTGTACAATGTTTTGGTTAGACGTTATTTATTTATGTTAAGTTCAGTATCGACGCCAAAGGTGTATTAGTGTAAGGGGCTGTCATGTAATGATGGGCTGTGTGTGTTTGAATTAAAATAGTTCACAGAAATTAAAATGATTAACAGCAACCTAAGCTACCTATAATAATTCTGTTTTTAATGTTGTCTAATATACGTAATGATAATTTCAAATGTAAAAATAATATAATTAAAAATGAAACCACGTTTCGTACACAATTTAAAATTGATGTTTCAGGAGTTTCAGTTCTTTGTGAAACTGTAATAAAGGATTATTTTAATGTTTTAATTTTGTGAACTATTTTCCTATACAGGGTGCGACACCAGTCTGCATAGTTATGGTGTGATAGGTAAAGAATAAGAGAGATTGGACAATATTTTTGTAATTTACTCATGTAATTACGCCTACGATGGAAAAATACCTACTATTTATATGAACTTATTACCTTTCAGATAATATAACAAAATCAAATTAAATAAATAAATAAATAGAACAGAATTTTAAAATATTTAATTAAATATTTTACTATCCAAAACAGATTTTCGTAATTAATATACCTTGAAAAGTTTGAAATTATACCTACTCGTTTAAAAATATGTAATATTGTCTTGGATTATAATATTTACAAACGAAATAAAGAGTTACCGCATTGATTCTGTTTTTTACTTTACATAAGCTTGTATAACTTTAGTGCCCTGATTGTATAATTGACCTACTTGTATAAAAGGAAACATATTTTTCTTAATAGCAATTTGATCAGGTTCATTAATTAATATTTTAGTAGGTACCTACTTAGTGATTTTCTATGTAATAGTTATTTAATCCTAATACCTAAATACTGAACTGAAGTTCAGAGGACACAGAACCCCTAATCATTTTGGAATGCAAACATTTACATGATGGCAAATGGAGAACAGAGAATTTTCGAAGACAAAATTTCATCAGTTTGCAAGTGTACGTAGAAAACATTTTGTGCGAATGCAAATTTCGAATGGAAACAACAGTTAAAAGAAATCAGTTAATTTTTTTTATCCACAACGAGGACGCTCTTGGTCTGTATCTCACGTGATGGCAAGTGACGATCAGGCCGAAGGTGGAAGCGAATTTCACCCGGAATCCTCAACCACGGAGGAACTGGCTATCTTACCTCTACTAATTAATATTCATCTATTAAACTAACCACGAATGCGTACGAGAACTAAAATAAGCTGCAGTTATAGGTTTAACTTCAAAAGTCAAAAGTCAAAAAAGTCAAAAGTCAAAATTTCTTTATTTGTTTGGACTAATAAATAGTTCTTACAAATCGTCATTTTGCTCTTAAGGAGCCTCTACATGTCTCATAATCTTTTTACCCTACCAGCGCTTCGAGACCAACATTTGGCAAGTGCTGAGAAGAAGCGCCGCAACAAACTCAGTCACCACTGTCTGCCGGTTAATATAAATAAATAGAAATAGTAGTAGTAGGTACATTCGATTCAGGAGCAGTTCACTGAATTTACCATGCATTCTTGTATGGTGTATCTTATAAGAATGGGTATACAAGATTGCGTGGTATATTAAACAAGGTAGTGACGTGCTAATTTCTATCTCATGGCGTGGCATACAACAGTTAAATAGAGTAATTGTTAATTTAGTAAAATGTGAAAATATCTGAACGAGGTAAATAAAAACAAAGTAAATAATTGAAACTATCATGGAACTGTTTTAAATGTACAAGTACAATCATGCTACTGTCACGCGAATATTAATTGCATGCGGTATGATTTTTATTGTGGAGTGATTCGTGCAGTCGTGCAGTGAGGGATTGACCATCAATTAAGTTACAATAAAATAATTTATAAATACCGCTATTCTCTGCTATTGTAAATACAGTTAAACCAGGAAAAGATGTTCTTATTACTCCTACTTGAATTACGGGCTGAACTACCAAGTACCTAGGTCTTCTTCTTTTCGTGTCGACTACAAACCTACACAGTGTCAGCCCAAAACTCCGCCACAAGAGTGGCGTTGTCAGTAGCACTCATCAAATCCTCCTGAGTGCAGTTGCTTGGGCACTCAGGGCACGACATCAGGTGCTTCATCGACTGGGGAACAAAACCGAAGTACCAAGGTTATTCTGTTCTGTTCGGTTCAGCCTAATCCCCACAATGCGCACAGTAGACCCGGCCGTCTGGTCCAAGTACAAGGCCAAGAGCGGCGTGAAGCTGAGCTGGCAACAGGCCGAGAGTCTGGAGGAGAGGCTGCGCAGGAGTCTGGTGGACGCTTTCAAGGAGTACGTCACGCACTGCACGATCAAGGGCGTCAGATTCGCGACGGATAAGGACTCTCCGACGGCTATGAGGTGGGTAACATACAAGTATGTTACCATAAGTATGTAAATTCTTTGAAAGTGAGCTAAAGTGAGCCAATTTGTAGGTACGCCTGTTAGTTTCATGCTTTATCAAATCACCTGGCGGTGAATTATCGCTTAGGTACCATTGAAGTAATCAGTGATTTCAAAATAAAAGATCCCATCGTTTTTATTATCCGTGGAAATATCGTGGTTGGTGCAATAAAGTAGCTCTTCAATTTCTCAAATCTCACTCAATTAAGTACGAGTAAGTAGCTGTACTGCTTATAGAATTACAATAATGCCTTTCAACGACATAAGTACGTTTTCTTCGATCTTCAAACTCAAATTCCACGTAAAAGCTAGAGCCACGGCTTTCCTAGGTGGTGCTACAGGATCATCATGCTCCTCCTCATGATCTGGGGCTCGTCGTGGGTGGCGTTCAACTGCTACAGGGCGCGCGTACGTCCTCCGCTGCAGATCAACCTGCAGGACAGCGAGGGCGCGCCCTCCGTGCCCTTCCCGGCTGTCGGCATTTGCAGCAACTGCCTCGTCAGCGAGAAGGCGCTCCAGCTCTATGCTGATGAACTGTGCGTATGATTGCTAGAATCCTCGGCACTTGCAACAACTGTCTCGTCAGTGAGAAGGTACTCTAGCTATACGCTGATGAGCTGTGTATAACTGCTACAGGCCACGTTCACGTGCTCATCTGCAAATTAACCTTGAGGCTAGCGAGTACGTCCTCAGTGCCCTAGGGATGTTTCCTGGGTCAAAAAGCAAAAGTTTTAATTAGTCCGTCAGTTAACTTATCAAAAAATACTCTACACGTATTTTTCACTTTTTCAAACTAATGAAAATTTAAAGAGATAAAGCGCGCCAAAGTTCATAAGAAGAGGCCCGTGACGTCAATGCGTAGATAAAGCGCGCCAAAGTTCATAAGAAGAGGCCCGTGACGCCAATGCGTGCATAAAAAGTGCCGCACGTTGTGACGTCGTGCGGAACTTCAACGCACCATAACTATGTAATTATTTGTTAGATTGACAAATAAAAATATATGTGTCCAATATTTTTTGATATTAAACATGACGGACTAAAAAATTTTTTTTAGGAAACTAGCCTATTGCCTCGTAAGCACTTTAGCTTTATGCTTATGAGCTGTGCGTATGATGGCCAGTAGTGTCCGACCGAAACAAGTTTTACGACCGAAACCGAAACCGAAAACGAATTTCGGCAACGGTGTCTATTTCGGCCGAAACCGAAACCGAAACCGAAACTTCCTTACAAAAAAAAAGAAAACGTTGTTATAATCAGTCAGTCTTTATTGTTTTTTCTTTAAATTGCATTAAAATTGAACTTATAAAGTTCCTTTTTAATCTAAAAGGTATCAAATTATGTATTAAAAAAGAAGGATTTATAGTCTAAATTTTTTTTAATTACGCAATATTCAGAACATCTACATAACCCGTCCCATGGTCGGGCATGGTCGGGTCTTTTACCTTAATAATTTCTCAAAACAAAATTGGTAGGTAGTACGTAAGTTAGTATCTACTGTACTTGCCACTTGGATACCTTGGTGATAAATACTAAAATGAACTTTGAAACTCTGAATCCATAATATTATCACCATGAAATGCACTATAGTCATTACTATAAAACTTACCAAATTCAAAATAAATCACTCGAAAACTCGCCACCACAACAAAACAAAACTAACAGCAAACAAACAAGCGAGCGAATCACGACATTGGCTTGGCTCTGATCGGATTCATTCTCTAATTTAACGCGCCGAACATGACCGATAACAGCGCGGAAACTCCCGAATGCACATTCGGTTTCGGTCGTAGTTTCGGCAAGTTTGCCGCCGAAAACGAAATTAAACCGAAACTCGTGTTTTTACCGAAACTCAACCGAAAACGAAACCGAAACCGAACATTCGGTCGGACACTAATGGCCAGTTTCTATTCGGTGACAGGTATTCGGAGGCTTTCCGTGGTACTAGTCAAGTTGGATTCTCTATAGGTACTCAGAGGATCTGGTTTTGATCCTCAGTTGCGAGACGCTTAGTGTTAGATCACTCTGTGTATTTGTTCCCAGTTTGGTTCAATCCACTTGCTTGTCCGGAAAATAAAATGATTCCGTCCAAAACATATCAGCCTCCTATTTTTCTCAGAAGTTACAGCCCACACGACATGGTAAGATCTGTGACATTGCTTTAATTTTAACGACAGGTGCTCACGTTTTTTCATAACCATTGATTTGTCACAATCACATTCTTTCACAAGTTATGACTGATTTCAGGGTTGCAAAAGATAATAACAGATCACTCTCGAGAGAGGACATAAAGACCTATCTAAAGAACTTCGGAGCGATGATCACTAGCTCCCGACCGAAGAATGAGGACCTGCAGTTTCTACGCTTCCTTTACAAGATAGATAACAACTTTAACATAACCGATCTTATGTATAAGGTAAGGTAAAGTAATAATAAATCAATAATGAAATTTTCCTAGTACTATGTCATCATCATCAAGTCATTAGTCTCCACTGTAGGTAAGAGCACAACCCCCCCCCCTCAAATTAATTAAGTGAAGGATTTGGTCTACTTGGCATGGAAAGGAGATACAAAATAGAATTTAATTTAAAATTAAAATTCCAGCTGGCACCTAAGTGTTCTTCCATCCTTAAGAAGTGTTCCTGGCGCGGCCGCCTGATTGACTGCCAGATCATGTTTGCAGAGAGGGCCACTCCCCTCGGCTTCTGCTGTGTCTTCAACTCTAGATACTAGTAAGTTCTGACAACAGAACAAAAAGAGATCACAGCTTTCTAAATCTGCATCTGTTTAAACGAAAAGTTAACGGGCTTAACTTCTATTTTTAGCCCAGTGGATATGAATAACGGAGCAAAGACACTCGACAGGACCGGCGTGAACCATGGACTGCTGGTGGTTGTGAAGGAGAACCCTGATGACTTTGCGGTCATCCGACGCCCCACTCTAATCGGTTTGGATGTGAGTTTTAAATTATAATTGAAAAAGTTTGCTCACTTCGAAACCATTAAATTGTATGTATTTCCTTATCTCAGGACTAATGCTCAACCTTTGTTGGTTGGGCTGCCAAACAGTAGCCTTGTTATATGCAGGAATTGCAGTGATGGAAACAAGAGGGGATATCCCTGCGAGGCAAACAATGGCCATTGTTAAATTTCTTCCTTTACTTCTACTCAGCACCAGCAGATATGTTGTTCCGTATTGATGGTCGGGCAAACTATATTGGTGCCAAGAAAAGGGGCTCCATACTTATAAAAATTCTGAATTTGAAAAGAAANGAAAGAAACACCGCTAGATCAATCTGCGAATGATTCCAGGTGATGGTGTTCGACGGCGATGAATACCCGCTACTGGAAAGCGGCGCGGTGCGCACGTACTGCGCAGGAATCAACGACTCGGTCTACTTCAAGCTGGAGGCGCACGCGCAGTACGTAGCTGACTCCGTGGAGTACTTCGACGAGGAGAGGGTGGGTATTCTATAAGTCTCTTTGACTTCAGAAAGAAAAGAAAGAAAGATCAAATCGTCTTCAAAAACGTCAGAAAGATGAAAAAAAAACTAGTATACCTGACAGGTTTTGCAGGCCAACAGTTGACAGTAAATTTGCAGCAAAGAAACTCATCATCATCATCAACAGCCCTTTACAGTCCACTGCTGGACTATGAGCCTCCTCCACTATAGTGGAGGGTTTTGCCATAATCTCCACGCTAGGCAGGCGGGTTGGAGATTGCAGTTTAAAAGATTGATGTTTTTCAGAGAGCGCTGCTGCCCATTCTCTGTTTAATGTGTAGTCCCTAAGTCGCCTCTTACGACACCCGCGGGAAGAGTAGGGGTTGGTGACAAATGTATTCTGCTCTGCCGTCACCACACGGCTTAGCAAAGAAACTATCAGGAAAATAATCTGTCTGGAAATAGAATCTGTCTGACAACTTTTAGATTCTTCCAAGTTTGATGGCTTGATTCAAGCACATTGTCTAAAGGAATCTTTGAATAATAGATGTGATTCGGTTCTTCGATTCTGTTTCTTCTAAGAGCGTTCGTCATCCAAAAGATCATCATTTTAAACATATCTTGCAAAGGAAGTATTGTGGCATTAATATGGAATCACTGAATTTATTATTGCGTTGGGAGAAACTATAGCTTCATTCCTTGTACAGATGATAGCATGGTTTCTTTTTATAGCGAGGATGTCGAATCAGCCAGTCCCCTCGCAGTAGTTTCGCCTGGTGCCTGACAGAATGCCGCCGCGCGGTCACCATGGCGATATGCAATTGCGTGCCTTTCTACCTGCCGCGCAACGCCACCGATATCGTCTGCACCACGGAGCATCTTCAGTGCTTGTACAAACATAGGGGTAAAGTAACAAAATTTTTTAAGCGTTTCCTTGTAAAATAAACTCTACTGGACCAAAAAATAAGCTTTTAAGCATTGGCTCACGGCTCATCTACTGCTATGCATTTTGTCAATATCTTCATAAAAGATGAGTTATCGAGTACCATACGGAATACGATTGAGGACATAGTGTGTTGGTGAAGAATGAAAAAACAGCCATTTTCAACATCTCAAAGCTGTCGCTAATTTTCAATTGGTTATCCTGAAATTGGGGGAGACCTATGTTAAGCAGGGACCATCCTGTGTCTGAAATGATGACTATGATGAAGACCCTCACCAATTTCCAATTGGTTTCCCATAATTGGGGGAGACCTATGTTCAGCAGTGACCAATTATTGACCATCCTGTCCTGTCTCTTGAAATGATGATGAAGCCTCTAAGCTTACTTTTATCAACGCCCAGAGAAGATGAGGTACTACTACCCGGGAGACATGCAGGACGCCAGCCTGGGCGAGGAGCTGCAGGACTCGCAGTCGTGTCCCGCCTGCGAGCCTGACTGCGCGCGCATCTACCACTCCGCCAACGCTTTCCACACGCTCTACTATCGCTCCGAGAAGCTGTTCAGCAATCAGTTCAGGTGATTTTGTTGCTTGCTTCTTCTCCGTCGAAATCCTCAGCCAGAATATTAATTAATCATAGCTATCATAAAACGTTTGACGTTTATATCCATTGGACATAATGTACTTGCGTACGAGATACTTTTAAATGGCTCTAGATGATTCTCGATGGACGGATCAATTGACTTTGTCCCTTCTATTGACTATTGATGCTGGCAATTAGAGCGTACTATTTTGGTATGATGGCTGATGAGAGCTGCCTCAATCTGCTGAATCAATCTGCAGTTTATGTCACACCTACACTGTTACAAACTCAGTGTTCTCTGACACCGTTGTTCATTATCCTCTTCAATATTAATGAAACGTTAAAAAGGGTCTCACTCTCAACAAGAAGTTTCCTGAAGTCTTATCATTACTTCTCTTGAGTAGTTTCATTTCGTGAGTACAATGACAATGTCTTGTTGTAGATTAGCTGTATCGCTCGCCAACACAACAGTGCTGCGGTTCTACTACACGACGCTCAAACACCAGGTGTACAACGTGGAAATCAACATGAGCTGGTACGAGGCCTTTGGTAAGTGTCGTGAAACAAATATCTTTTCGTTCATTCTAGCATTCCGACCACTGCTGGACAAAGGACTTCCTCACAGATTTTCACAAGTGCTGTGTCTCTCAGATCTTCTCGTTTTATATTTTATATATCTCACTGATAAAGAGCTTTACTCCATTTTCAGCCACAATCAGCTGTCACATCTGTTTCATGCTGGGAGTTTCCCTGATATCCGTGGCCGAGCTGGTGTTCCACCTGACCTTCCGATGGGTCTATCACTTCATACGGAGGTCACGACGGATCAAACGAAGAGATACGTAAACTTATGTTATGTAGAGTAACATATTTTAATAATATGTGTACACAGCTAAGTTGTTTGTTTTTTAACAATAAATGGTTGTTTGCCAATCGTATAAAAATTATGTTTGCATGTATAAACAATTAGTAAAATGTCATTCGACCTACGCCACGCTTAAAGTGTAATGTAATGATGTATTTTATTGTGTAATCACATAGTATACCATACGTTACTAGTAACATATTACTATAAAATTATAATCAAAATAATGTGGAAAAAATGTGATATGAAGGATAGGTAACAGATATTATAACGGAAGTAAACAAAAACAAAAATATAATTTGCATTGATTAATTTATTTAAGCTTACTTATATTTCTAAAGATAACAGTCGCTAATAAAACATTTTTGTATTATTAAATATAAATAATAGCTTGGCACAAACAATAACTAGTTAAATAGCAAAATAAAGTTAATTTAAGATAACTTCTGAAATCCAGTTTACAATATTTTTGTTAAAAATGCTTGCGTAATAGATAAACTTCTTTGGCCTTTTGTTGTATGATTTTATTTGTAAGGGTTATTATGTCTTTATCAAATATTATTGTGTAGATTTGTTAAGAAGACGAGTGTACAAAGATCTTTCCGCTCGTGCGCCTACGAGCAGTTAGGCAAACGATTCGGATATATAGACNGCCCGCTGTGTAATGAAGAAAAAATTTTTTTCACCTACTTTTTGCGAAAAAAGTACCATACAATGTTATATTTTTATAATCCTGATAAATGTAGCTTTCAGGTCATATTTTTTTTATTAGATTATCTCCAGTGGTTTAAAAGTAAACGACGTTTATTTAAAAAAATACTTTTTGGTTTTTGTGAATTTTACTCAATATTTCATTTTTTTTGTATGAAAAGGCAAAAAGGTTGTTCTAGAAATGAATTCGCCATCTTTTAATTATCCGAAAATGATACCACACTTGCCCTAGTACCCATAGTTTTGAAGATATGGGCCTTAAAGTGAAGCGCGGCGGAAGGAAACTTGCCCCCCCTCCCCCTGCTACCACAGGGGGGGCTCCCGATGTCTACCGACAGAAATCCACTCAGGAGCACCCAAAGAACCACTGTTGCAAAAATGAGCCTTCTATACCAAAGTGGAGGGGTTCTTGCACTAAATTCCCTACTAATAATGCCGTAGTTAGAGAATTAAAAGAAGCGTCCTTTGCGAAACTGCTCGGAATGAGATGTCGCCACACCTGCGTGAGGTTGCGATACTGGCCAAAATAATACGAGATTAAATCTGCATTGTTTTAATCATTACCGAGATGATTTATCTTGAATTAGTGTTAAATGACGTATTTTTGCCTTAACCTTGAATTTTATAGGAAAATAAATGACAGACTTAAGTGGATTCGACCAATCAAGGAATAAATCGTCAGTTATTCGACATTTTGACATATTTCCCATATTGAATCTGTAAATGTGCCAATTATGCCAGGACTGCTGGCGCTATTTTAGTTTTGAGAAGGGCTTACAAATTCAAACAACGGTTTTTATAAAAGTTTCTTGGCATTACTTCAGCTGCTGTCTGCGTTCGTTGTTTGTTTAATTTACTAATTGTAAATTGGATTTCAAAAATATAGTACGTTTAGTTAGGGATTATTGACGATGTCATTGGGGACGTCTTCGACTGCCCCCTCGCAGTTGCCCGGGGACGGTGGGTCGCCAATTATCGCTGGGATGACCTGAAATCATTACGTTATTGTTTACATTTCTGCAATAAGTTTCATTGTTATGCATGCATTGAGATTTGAGAGTGTATACAAAATTTGACGTTCGTGATCGCTTCGCAACGTCTCTAAATTACGTACTACATACATACAAAATGATGAAATAGCCCCTAACTCCTGCAGCCCAGTCGTGTTAAGCTCCTAGAACGAGTATCATGGAATATAACTAAAAATCCCGTCTACCTTTCTTCCCAGCATGAAGAGGATCTGCGCGACCTTCTTGATGGCCTCCAGCTGCTGCGGCGTGGGCAGCGGCAGCCAAAGCACGCTATAATGATCCTTAGGCACATAGGAATAAGGAACAGAACTGAACAGCAAGCCTACGCCAATACCTGTTCTCCCAGCATAACCAGGATCTGTGCGACCTTCTTGATGGCCTCCAGCTTCTGCGACGTGGGCAGCGGCAGCCAGTAGGTCACGCTATAATGATCCTTAGGCACATAGGAACAAGGAACAGAACTGAACAGTAAGCCTACCCCAGTACCTGTTCCCCCAGCATAACCAGGATCTGTGCGACCTTCTTGATGGCCTCCTGCTCCTGCGGTTTCGCAGCGTCAGCCAGAGCACGCTATTATAATCCTTAAGCACATAGGAACAAGAAACAGAACTGAACAGCAAGCCTACCCCAAGACCTGTTCTCCCAGCATAACTAGGATCTGCGCGACCTTCTTGATAGCCTCCAGCTTCTGTGGCGTCGCAGCGGCAGCCAGAGCACGCTACAATGATCCTTAAGAACATAGGAACAAGGAACAGAACTGAACAGCAAGCCTACCCTAGTACCTGTTCCCCCAGCATAACCAGGATCTGCGCGACCTTCTTGATGGCCTCCAGCTGCTGCGGCGTGGTCAGCGGCAGCCAGTAGGTCACGGTATAATGATCCTTAGGCACATAGGAGCAAGGAACAGAACTGAACAGCAAGCCTACCTTAGTACCAGTTTCCCCAGCATAACCAGGATCTGCGCGACCTACTTGATGGCTTCTAGCTCCTGCGGCGTGGGCAGAGGCAGCCAGGAGGTCACGGCATAATGATCCTTAGGCACATAGGAACAAGGAACAGAACTGAACAGCAAGCCTACCCTAGTACCTGCTGGCGCTATTTTAGTTTTGAGAAGGGCTTACAAATTCAAACAACGGTTTTTATAAAAGTTTCTTGGCATTACTTCAGCTGCTGTCTGCGTTCGTTGTTTGTTTAATTTACTAATTGTAAATTGGATTTCAAAAATATAGTACGTTTAGTTAGGGATTATTGACGATGTCATTGGGGACGTCTTCGACTGCCCCCTCGCAGTTGCCCGGGGACGGTGGGTCGCCAATTATCGCTGGGATGACCTGAAATCATTACGTTATTGTTTACATTTCTGCAATAAGTTTCATTGTTATGCATGCATTGAGATTTGAGAGTGTATACAAAATTTGACGTTCGTGATCGCTTCGCAACGTCTCTAAATTACGTACTACATACATACAAAATGATGAAATAGCCCCTAACTCCTGCAGCCCAGTCGTGTTAAGCTCCTAGAACGAGTATCATGGAATATAACTAAAAATCCCGTCTACCTTTTTTCCCAGCATGAAGAGGATCTGCGCGACCTTCTTGATGGCCTCCAGCTGCTGCGGCGTGGGCAGCGGCAGCCAAAGCACGCTATAATGATCCTTAGGCACATAGGAATAAGGAACAGAACTGAACAGCAAGCCTACGCCAATACCTGTTCTCCCAGCATAACCAGGATCTGTGCGACCTTCTTGATGGCCTCCAGCTTCTGCGACGTGGGCAGCGGCAGCCAGTAGGTCACGCTATAATGATCCTTAGGCACATAGGAACAAGGAACAGAACTGAACAGTAAGCCTACCCCAGTACCTGTTCCCCCAGCATAACCAGGATCTGTGCGACCTTCTTGATGACCTCCTGCTCCTGCGGTTTTGCAGCGTCAGCCAGAGCACGCTATTATGATCCTTAAGCACATAGGAACAAGAAACAGAACTGAACAGCAAGCCTACCTCAGTACCTGTTCCCCCAGCATGACCAGGATCTGCGCGACCTTCTTGATGGCCTTTAGCTCCTGCGGCGTGGGCAGCGGCTGCCAGTAGGCCACGGTATAATGATCCTTAGGCACACAGGAACAATGAACAGAACTGAACAGCAAGCCTACCCTAGTACCTGTTCCCCCAGCATAACCAGGATCTGGGCGACCTTCTTGATGTCCTCCAGCTCCTGCGGCGTGGTCAGCGGCAGCCAGTAGATCACGGTATAATGATCCTTAGGCACATAGGAACAAGGAACAGAACTGAACAGCAAGCCTACCCCAGTACCTGTTCCCCCAGCATGACCAGGATCTGCGCGACCTTCTTGATGGCCTCTAGCTCCTGCGGCGTGGGCAGCGGCTGCCAGTAGGTCACGGTATAATGATCCTTAAGAACATAGGAACAAGGAACAGAACTAAACAGCAAGCCTACCCTAGTACCTGTTCCCCCAGCATGACCAGGATCTGCGCGACCTTCTTGATGGCCTCTAGCTCCTGCGGCGTGGTCAGCGGCTGCCAGTAGGTCACGGTATAATGATCCTTAGGCACATAGGAACAAGGAACAGAACTGAACAGCAAGCCTACCCCAGTACCTGTTCCCCCAGCATAACCAGGATCTGCGCGACCTTCTTGATGGCCTCCAGCTCCTGCGGCGTGGTCAGCGGCAGCCAGTAGATCACGGTATAATGATCCTTAGGCACATAGGAACAAGGAACAGAACTGAACAGCAAGCCTACCCCAGTACCTGTTCCCCCAGCATAACCAGGATCTGCGCGACCTTCTTGATGGCCTCCAGCTCCTGCGGCGTGGGCAGCGGGAGGCGCGCGTCGTCGCGCTGCGCGTGCGCCGCCAGACGAGAGCTCAGCCCCGATACAGCCGACAGCGGGTGCGAGGATTCTGGGTCGTGGTAGAACTGGGGAACGTTGGCTTGTTAATTTTTTCAGTTAAAGCAGCTATGCCAAGCATAAACTTGAGCAGTACTCAACATGAACTTTGGCTTATTTATATGGGCAAGTCGTATAAGTAATAGGTCGGAGACACAACTGAATTAAGACAAATAAACAAATATTTATTATGACATCTTGAAAATAGGTGGTGGAATGATCATTGCTCATTCACATTCGATTACCAATGAATTAGATGTAAGTAATTTTTATTTGAAGGAAATAAGTATTAAACTAATAAAATATGACTATGGTACTCACTGCTGGACCGCTCCATACATTTTCTACGATCAACACCAAAAGAAGTGCACACAACGGGATCCTTGCTGTCGCCATGGTGTTTCAGTACTGCTTCCAAAGGTTACCACTTATGGCATATAAAGCCCATGTAATGGGTCGAATTTTCACAATTGCTTGATTCTATAACTGCTAAGATTGTTGCAAATATGTAGCTTGATTTAATGCAAAAATGCATGGAATGATTTGCTGAGACGGGTTTCCCGCATAATCTATACTAATATTATAAATGCGAAAGTAACTTTGTCTGTCTGTCTTGCTTTCACGCCTAAACCACAGAACTGATTTTGATGAAATTTGGCATAGAGATAGTTTGAGTCCCGGGAAAGGACATAGGATAGTTTTTATCCCGGTTTTTGAAACAGGGACGCGCGCGATTAAGTTTTTCTGTGACAGACAAAATTCCGAAAGCTAGTAATAATATAACATTATACTAGCGATTTTCTAATTCATTTTAAATTGTGTCAATATCTGGGGTGGTGGGAGCCTGATGACCTGTTTACAGGCATACAATTCCTATCACAGTCATCAGTCTTACACAAACAACTTTGTTTTATGAATTGTAATATATTGAACAACTTGTGTCATTGTAATGTTTGTGATGAGAAAATAAAGGCTATTTGTTTATTTATTTGTTTATTTAAAAATAATGCTAACATTTAGGCCTCCCCATGCCAACGTAGGATGAGTAGACCAAATTTTCCATTTGCCCCTGGTAATTTGAAGAGAGGAGACTAGCTGACCGGATGATGACATTTTATTTAAATTGTTTATTACCATGGTAGGTTAGGTTTAAAAACCATTATGTGTATGGTAGATTCAAGGATTTCATAAGTCATTATGTATAATAAAAATGCTCAAACTGTTAACTTTAGTCCGTAGTTATCTAACAACTCCGATATTCATCATACAATATTTAGCGACCGCCAAAAACCAAGGTGAGTTGGTGGCATTAATAGCAAAACGTTAGTTCCGTAGCGCATCGATATCATCTGTCTGCGGAGCTAGTAGTCGCCGCACTATAAGCGCAGGCGCAGCAGGACCGTGGCATGCGTTGGCACAATAAAAGCTTTTATTAATTTAATTATTTTCCGCAAATAGGCTTTTAAAAAGTAGGGATGATAAGGATATGTATTTTCGGTTATGGATCCGTATCCATTACCGTTTACGGATATACAAATAATATTAAACATTGGAGGAGGCCTTTGTCCAGCAGTGGACGTCATTTGGCTGAAACGATCGAACGAACGAAATAATATTATACCGATTTCGGTTACGGATACGGGTATCTGTGCAGAATGCAAATTGTAAAAGTTGTCCAACACGGTTCATTCCATACGAATAGAATGGGTAGAAGAGATTTATTTGGCATCTGTCACGCTCCTATAGTTAGTAAAAAAAAGCTTTCATTTTATGGAAAAAGGCTCATGCACAACTATCACTAAATCAGCGTAGGGACTTGTTTGACTCTGCCTACATCCGAAACTATCCGAAACTTTTGAATCGGTACGGTTACTAGGGTGTCCCTTATATGGCCGAAAAAAAATTTTTTTTAGATAATGAAATGCATACCCCCTATTTCTTTTCGTAGTACTCAGACATACTTAAATACAAAATTTCATCTTCCTACGTCAACATTAACCCGTGCCGACCTAGCTCTGAAGATTTTGAAAAATGCTGGTTTTACCCCTTTTATTAAGTAGCTATATCAATTAAAATATTTATTTTTTATAAAATATTTATAAAAAGAAGATAACATTACAGATCAGACAATATATTTTACTTTTGAGGGACTCTTTTTTACATTCTGGATACAGATTTCCATGCTCCTGAATATTGGCCTGATTTTGGCTTCACTGTGCGAAGCAAAAAAAGCTTTTGCTCTTCCTTTGCAGTGATCAAACCATGAAAATCTTGCATAAGCTTTATAGCTCTTTCAGCTGTATCATTAACTACCCTTAAAGAAAGCACTTTTTTGCCTTTAAATAGGCAACATCTTTATCTCATATAGAAATGTGTCTCAGGGGGAAATTATTATCAATTTTCAATCGAGAAAATAAATTTATACTCTTGACAGACACAAAACCACTCAATGGTTTTCCATCAACAATAAATAAGGCAGTAGTATTATCAATTCATTAAAAACAGGATAAAAAACTAGTACAAAGTCCTATTTACCATAGAAATAATCATACCTTCTTCAGATGGAATGTATCTCTTCTCAGAATCATACATACTCTCTCTTTGTACTTTTACTACAATATTGACGGTGTTTGTTCATTACCTTCATCATTAAAGAGTGATAAAACGGCAATTTCTTCTGATATGAAGTACCAAAGATGTTGACTAAACTTGCTCAGGGCTGCCTTGGAAATCAATTTGTCAACACTCTCATATACCTTTTGGAAAGTGGATGTCAAGAGTTCCTTAAGGCTTTCCTCATAGCTGGTAAGCTGGTCGTGATGTCCTTGCGTTTGTATAGAATCTTGCGTAGTAAGAGATGACGATATAACCTCCGAAACATATTTGCTCTATTTTTTATTTATTTAATTACTAGCGGCCGCCCGCGACTTCGTACGCGTGAATCCTGTTTTTCCCGCTAATTCCCGTTCCCGTGGGAATTTCGGGAATTCCTTTCTTAGTGCACCTCTACGGTACCTAAGCTACGTCCCTTCCAAATTTCAAGTGCCTACGTTTAGCCGTTTAGGCTGTGCGTTGATCTGTCAGTCAGTCAGTCAGTTTCTCCTTTTATATATTTAGATTTAATTTTCTTTGTCTTGCACTTTCTACTTTCTTTTCTTAACTTTTTGTCTACACCTTAACACTCTGGACGCCTTGGTTTTATTTGTTTTTGTTAAAATATTTAATTTGTTTTTAAATCCTCCTCACCGCGGCGCTTATAAATCTTGATAAATTTTAATAATTTTTCTTGCAACTCCCTCCAAGCATGGTGAAGATAACACAAGTTTTTTTACACAGTTAGGCTCTGGTAGGATTTATAGCTTTTCCCAAAATATAATACACTCCCGAATGATCAGATTAGAGCTTTCAATAACATTTAATTAACTTTGCAAAATATGTAAAAAAATACTGCAAAAACCTGACGATTAACGGTAACTTTGTGCCTATTATTTGATAAATTTACGTCCCCGACTAAGAAAATACTTTTTTTATTGTTTCTTAATTCCACAGCCATCTTCTGAATGTCAAACAATAGGTGTTAATCACGAGATTAATTGAGAACAAATAACAAATACCGCGAATACGCACCGCTACTGCCGCGCAACATGTTTCGATGCAAGTCGGCACGGGTTATCGTACTCCAAATAAGGTAAAAATTTATTTCCGAGTGTTTTAGAGGCAAACAAACAAAACTAAGACCTATACGTTACAAATTTAAAACTTTGAAAAATAAGGGACACCCTAACGGTTACCATTATATTTTTATTTCGGATATCCGAAAGTTTCGGTTACGGTTACGGATATCCATAACATCTCTGTTAAAAAGTGCTTTTCAGTATTACTTTAATCCCACCACTTCCTCAGGACAATAAATGGGCCCTGTTTAGAATAAGTTGCGAAAGAAACTTATATGTATGAACTTACTATGTCAGAAATTTATTATTATAATGTAACATAATAATAGGTATTTAAACCAGTTAATTCTCTACCTACCTTTCGTTATATAAAATTGAGGAGTAAAGTGTAAAAAAAATGAAAGTTTCGATTGTGATCTTGAGCTGTATCGTACAGAAGCTGAGCCTACCACATCCACGTCACATTATTGCCGGTTAGCCTTACTGTTGGAGTAGGTAGGTACCTACAATAAAAATAATAACTTACTCAACTTGAAAACGAATGATGATTTTGAATAGCTTTGACAGTAGGTAAATGGGAGGTCGTGGGTTTGGATTCCGGGATAATAAACTTGCGTGCAAAAAAAATCGGTCCGCCCCACACGTCACGACTCGGAACACTATTATAAAAATCTTATATCAACTAATAATAACTTCCAGTGCTCTATTTATCTATACAGGGTGTTAGGTAAATGAGTATATGAGCCGACACTAGCCCATGTTAACATGGGCATATAAATGGTATCATAATGGTAATGGAAGTCAGAAATTTGATATCATCATTTTTTTTTAAATTTTCATACAAATTAAATATTATAAAATCCGATTTGTATTTAAATTTAAATAATTAAAATGAAGATATCAATCTATGCAATTTATATATTTGTAAGCTGTTTGTTTTCTGAATAAAACAAAATAAAATAAAATAAAATGTTAACATGGACTAGTGTCGGCTCATATACCCATTTACCTAACACCCTGTATAAATATTTCGGTGGTGGGCTTGTTCCACACAGTCCGAGAGTGTACGGAGTCGTCACGTCATAGTAGTGCTGCTAATTAGTCCTTTTGCTTAGGGTGACGGTGATAATAGTTCACTTTGTGATACCGGCACTAAATTTTAGTATGTTGATAAACAGCATGATAATCTGGCTAAAAAATCGTCGGAAGCCCATCTGTAAAATGTTTGGCCCCGGAGAAAAGACGTCATCAAAATGTCAGCTGCAACATTTTGAAAAATGCAAAGTATTCTGATTCTTTTAACCTTACATGCGTGTGGGGGGTATCAAATGAAAGGTAATTAATTGCTTTATAAAGCTATGATACGTAATATCAGCTACATTTTGAGTACAGTACTGGGATTAAGCTTGAATTGAAAAAGCTATAAAACAATTAATTACCATTCATTTGACACCCCACACATGCAAATAAGGTTGTTAGAACAAGAATAAAAGCAATTTTAAAAATGCGTCGGCCGCCATTTTTATGACGTCTTTTCTCCGGGACCACATATTTTACAGATGGGCTCCCGGTTTTTAAGCCAGAATAACATGCTTAACAACATAATTATTAAAATTTGGTGCCGGTATCACAAAGTGAACTATCCCCATACAAATTTTACGCTAAGCGTACGGTCTAAGTGTGGTAGTACTAGTACTGGTAGTGGTAGAAGTGGTAGTGGGTTCAGCAAGTATATCCATACAAGTATTGAATATTAATTCATGGTACGGTCTTACATCAGTGAACACCAGTATACTTTCGTTGCATTTTGT